CTTTAAATCTGACTGGCACTTGCCCTGCTAATGCAGAAAACAAACTTGTTGGCTGTGGAGTTAAAGATGGACTTTTCTCTTTTTAAATCGATTGTTTAACATGGGCCTCATGAGCATTAAAAGATATTTAAGGAATTTGGGAAACAGCCAGGTTTACGGCTGTTTTTGTACCGCCACTTCCAGTATCTGACTCCAACAAGTCAAGAAATCCTCCGATCACTCACGAGGATTTATCAAGAACTGGCAATAGTGCTAAGTAGTTAAGTGGTTATGGACATGATTATGACTGGCTACCAACAACTGTTACCGATTCTAAAGATGTTATAGACAATAGATGATGGGATTCGTTTACCACTGAATAACTTCTTGTGCCGTATAATATATTATTTTTGGTTTCCTGGATGCTAAGAACAGTTGGGGCAGAGATTTATTCGAAATCACTGGTGAGAAACCCAAATGAAGGCTGTTAAAAACGATCAGCAGCACCTGTCAACAGAGCATAAAGCAAAAATAAATTGGTAAAATCACACTTAAAAACGTGGGAATTTACAAATAGAAACAAAAGCTGGAAGAGTTGCACTCGCTGGCAGTAAAAAACCCATATGCTGAGCAGGTTTTCTCATTTGTACAACTGTATAACACCGATAATTAGATTGATAATGTTGCCAAGTGAAATGTAACTAAAAGGTGACGAAAGAACCTGGAGTATGGATGAGATGACTGTAAAACTGAGTGCATACAATTAAAGAAATTTAATAACGGAGTCACTGCCAAAGCACAGACAACAAACAGAGAAACAAGTAAAATCTTTTGAACTTATTTACACCCTATGCGAAAGCAGTTCGCTGCGACGGGAAGATACGAACAATATTTGAAAACCCGTAAATTTTTGAATTTACCTCTAAAACAGCAATTACACATAAAAATTCGAACTATTGGAAAAACGCATAGCAATAACATAAAGAATTGTAAACCGGTGAGAAAATCAGCGAATAAAGCTTAAATCAATCCCGGTATAAACCTAAGAAAATTCACATTATAGAAGTCAACAAATAACAAGCCGATTGTCTTACGGCATATAGTGGCTATGAACTATAAAATTTAAAATGTAGCCCTAGTGAAGCTTCTTACTCAACCGTTCCGCTGAATATGCAAAACAAATAACGCCACTTTAAAAGGCTCTCCACAAATTTAAATCTGACTTACCAACTTTTAAGAACCACGGAAATATCTATGTGATATAAGCAAAGATGAGACCGCTGTATATTCCAAACTGTACAGATAGAGATGAAACGCACTGCTAACATTACAAAACTTGAAGATGAGATAAAAATAATGGTGCAACTTTCCAATTTCAGCCTAGACTTCATACAGAAGAAACTTCTACTCAAAATCGATATCCATGTCGAACTCACTGTCATCTGGCAACTCTAAAAAGGTCAGTGAAGTAGGAGTAGCGGCTGGGGGATGGGTTGCACACTCTTCAACTTCTGTTTCATCGGCGCAGTCTTCGACGTATGGAACAGGTTCAACCGATCCCGAATCTAAAAGTCATAAAGACAAAGTTTAATTATCAGTAACAAAGCTTAAAAATTACAAAAACAGCCTAGCACAAGATTTACTTAAAATTTTCCCAGCTTCTTCCTCCGTAATCTCGTTTATTCTTCCACGCATTGAAGGATCATCCATTGGATTTCGAGGTACATATGGCACTAAGGCTCTGTTGGAAATACTATAAAAACCAGCGAATATGGAGAGCAAAAAGAAAAGCTCATAACGATAAAAGAAGGTTTTTGACGCTCACCTTGGCATAATAACAGGCTGTTCTTTAGTTTTAGTAATGTAGTCCCTTAACAACTGACTGAGATGTACTTTTTTTGCCACTTCGTGAAGATCAGCATTACCCTTATTCTGCTCTTCCATCATTTCGTCTTCTGATGAGTCGCTTAACCTAAAACAAGCGATTCTACTTTACAGAAAAGATGGAAATTACATTCAAAATAAGCGATGAAGAGTTAAAAAGTTTTAAATCAATGCAAACATTACAGATGACAAAAAGCCGTACCGATCCTCAATTTCCTCAAACGTTTCGTGTCTCTGATGAGCTTGCCATGCTTCATGGTTAGGGTTTCTAATAGGAGAAATATGAAAATTCCTAAAGTGTGCGTTTATCCTCTCCACCTTTCGCTTTGTCTGCGGCTCGCTTTCATCAAATAACCCCAATCCAGACGCACTCTGAATCCACTAATTCTTAAAAACCACACAAAACACAAAACAATTAAGATTCTACCGATAATCAGAATGAACCTCTTCATTGCGTAAACTGATCGATGTAAAAGTTATTCAACTGTAGTCAAGAAGTTTTGATTCATGTAGGTTTTTAAGGTGTAATGAAATACTGAGAAAGCATACAAAGTTTCTCTTTACTGGATGTCCTTGACCGTGACACCTGTTCTTCTCCGTCACGAAACAATTTGGTGACTTGCTAAAGCCAAAAAATGGCTTCTGAGAATCGACCGCAGATGATGACGCTCGATTGGCGAAACTCGAAAAAGGATAACCCTGAGGGAAGTGCGATGTCATTGATGCCTACGTTTTAACTGAAAATTCCTTCATTAAAAAAGACCAGGATGAAAGCCCTTTACGACGCCAAGAATTACTCGATTATAACACTATATAAAATTAACGTTAACAACCTCATGATAAAACCGCCGAATGCAAAACAGCTTTAATTCACAGAAAAAAAAAAACTAGTACCATAACTTAATCAGTTTCTTAGACTCCGCCTCACCAAATTAATTAATGAAGAACGAGCATTTTAACCACTTTTTCACACTTTCTTAATAATTAAATTTTTTTATCCCTGCTGTATTCAAAAACCTTTCATTCATTTTTTGCTTCCCAAACAACTAAAGTAAAAACTCTTTTCTAATTATCTGCGTTGACAAGTATTATGCTAGCGAAAGAGAAAAGAAATAGCAGATTTCAACCCATTTGCTATCTCAATGTCAGAACTCAACCCTTCCGCTAACCCACCGTTTGAATAGCGGCATCAAAGAAGTAATAAAGGCAAAATACCAGGACCGAAACGCAGAGACATGTTTCTAGGTTTTACCAGCATCTTGACAACTCCAGAGAAAAGAGCTTTCTTTCGGAAGAAACAAAAACTGAATGACAGTTACTTATCCAAAAACTACCTTTCCCGTCAGAGACAGCCTAAATTCTACCTTTCTGAATAAAAGTACGCTGCTTTATCAGTATTCAGAAAAAATCTTCACCTGCACTAAACAGTACCGCTGTTAGATGAAAGCCACTGTGCACTGATTCCAAATGCGTTAGATGTTTGTAGATAACCGTTCTTTTGCAAAAATTTTCTAAATTAATACTTAATGACAATCGCATTTTTGAAAAGCTCAAATAATTATTCATAGAACAATGGGTTTACTTCATTATTTTTATCACTACCTCGGCAGTAGGCTTGTGTAGTAAGTAACAACGGATGTCGTACAACAAAAAAGAGAACAGACGCCACAGTTTATTCCACAGTAAGTTCTTAAGTTTTTCTGGACAAGTCAAACTCTCATAATCTGAATTCTGTGAAACTCAAGAAATGCTGAGCAGTTTCAATGAGTTACTGAAACATTTTTCCCTTTGAACATAAAAAATAACGAATTCCTTGGTATACACTAATCTACAGAAAGTCAGTCGCTGAAAGACTCCTATTACCTTTTTATTAACTAATAGAGACTACTTTCAACCGACACCAATGCAGTTATAAATTGAATGACTGTTATCTAACCAAGAATGCCCGGAAAGCGGAAATCCACAAACGCCACCACCAGTAACGTGGAAACCCGAGTTAGAAACGATAGTGAGTCGCGACCGCAGCTGCACAAGTGAATTAATGTATTAATGGTAGAGACAAAAAATTAGTACTGATACTGGAGTTCCCGAAGAAAAGAAGAATGAAAGGTTTGCAGAACTTCACAGGAAAATTTGCAAGACAGTTTGACGTGTGACGTTTTTGTAGAAAAGGTAAAAAGGAAAGAAGATCTGCAACAAATAGAGAAGCTCAAAATGATACGCGTTTGACCAATTTTTTCCATCCAGCCTCAATTAAAACGTACCGGTACGATGCTGAACTGAAGGTGGACAGAAAATGGCGGATAAAATATCAGCTCGGCTGTTTTGAAAGTTTAAACAACGAAAGCTGTTACAAAAAAAAAAATCCATCAGAAACCCTCTAGTTTCCTTTTTAAAAACTTACCTGTCCTTAAATGAAAAAGTGATTAAACACTAAACAGACATAATTATCAATTACTTGACTGAAACTTTAGATGCGAGAAAAACGTACTGTCCTATTTTTTATATGCATCATAAGATCTCCTTCTTAACTTTCACTGCATAATTTCCAAATGTTCTTCCTCCATCTATCTGAATTACTGCAACAATCATTAAATCATTTCCTTCCTCTGTCCAACCTCATTTGTCTATTTCAAGGTCAAACCAAAACCTTACTTCTCTACAGTTATTTTCGCTGACTGAACTACGGCAAAGCATATTTCAGTTCATTCGTAAATACAGCTGCCAAAATCTAACTCCTGATTACTTTTACGTGTTTCCAGTAATGGAACGTAAGGAGAAGTGTTCAAATTAGAAATAAAAAGAAAGAATTGCCAAAGTCTTAAATCATAAAACTTATCCTGGAAAAGAGACTAAATCTGTGAAATTATAAAAGTCGCAAGTAGAATAATAAAATAGACCAATACTCATTATATCTCTAGTAAAACTGTTGCTACCTAAAAAACAAATATACGACAAGCAAAGAATTCCTAATTTATAGTTCAACAGACAGAGAAAGACATTTATCTGTATGAGTATTACAGTTAGGAATGTTGCATACAGTTTCTTCGCAACTTTAAAATAATTTCTTGACCATAAAAGTCCCGGAGTAAAGGTTTTTTTTTGAAATGTAGATATTTTATCATAAATTTATTTTGAACAACTTACTGCTAAAATGTGTATGCGTATTTGTATCAAGCTATATCAATAAATCACCAAATTTAAAATCTGCCTGCTTTTTCCTTCTAAAATCTCAGTTTAATAATAACAGCCGCTAAAAAGTTGCAGTGAAACAGTGTCATTGTATAATACCTGACGATGAGTACGAATAACCAAGTGTCAAATAAAATAGTCAAAGTTTTGATAAAACATAAAATATCACTGGAACTTTTGCTTAACATTAATATACCATATAACTTTGAAAAATATATATAATGGTTATTTATCAGTTAAAATAGCTAAACTAGTAATCACATTAAACGGATGAAAAACGATACACATAAAACCAAAATAATGAGAAGAACAACGGTAAATGCGCAGCAGCACCGACTACGAATGTACAGTCAAACCGTAACATCAGCAGCGGTATCCGTAGTACAAAAATTTTGGTGACCTGCCGAAAATCTGCCGATTGTGATGCCGCGAAACGTCCAGGAAGATTGGGCAACGAGCCAAAATTGGCACATCAACAGGTTTGCCGCAGTGTTTATATTTCATATGTCAATGTTCTGTAATGGCAGTCGGGTTTTTTTTTTTTTTTTTTTTTTTTTTTTTT